CCAGGACCCTGGGATCATGACCTGAGCTGAAGCCAGAGGCTTAACCCACTGAGCCACCCAGGTGCCCCATGGGTGCTCTTATATTGGTTGCATAAATATTTACAATTGTTATATCTTTATTTTGGATTGTTTCCTCTATGATTATGTAGTGTTCTTCTTTGTCTTTTGTTACAGTTTTTGTCTGATATAAATATTCCTATCCCAGCTTTCTTTTCACTTCCATTTGCATGATATATATTTTTTCATTTCTATACTTTCAATCTGTATGGGTCTTAGGTCTGAAATGGGTCTTTTGTAGGCAGCATATTTTTGTTTTTTTTAATCCATTCTGTCCCCCCCCCCATGTCTTTTGAATGTTGCATTTAGTCCATTTACATTCAAAATAATTATTGGTAAGTATGTACTTACTGTCATTTTATCACTTGTTTTATGGTTGTTTTGTAGTTCTTCTCTATTCCCTTCTCTTGCTCTCTTATCTCTTGGTGGCCTGGCTTAATTTAGGGATATACTTCAATTCCCTTCTCTTCATTTTTTTCAGATCCATTACTGATTTTTTCTTGTGGTTACCATTAGGTTTATATATAACATCTTATGCATATTGCAGTCTATTTTAACTTGATGGTCATTTAAGTTTGAACCCATTCTAAAAGCACTACATTTTTACTCTTCACCCTTCCATGTTTTAGGTAAATGGTGTCATACTTCGCATCCTTTTATTTTGTGAATCCCTTGACTGATTTTTATAGATATACTTAATTTGTACTGTTTTTGTGCTTCCTACTGTTCTTATTTTTGCTATGGTCTCATTTCTACAACAAGTCCCCTTTAACATTTCTTGTAGGGCTAGTTTAGTGGTGATGAATTCCTTTAACTTTTGTTTGTCTGGGAGACTCTTTATCTCTCTTTGTATTGTGAATCATAGCCTTGATAGAGTATTCGTGGTTGCAGGCTTTTTTTTTTTTTTTTTTCCTTTCAGCACTTTGAATATGTCATGTCACTCCCTTTTGGTCTGCAAAGTTTCCACTGATAGCTATATGGGGCTTCCCTTGTATGTAACTGTTTTCTTTTCTCTTGCTCTTTTTGAAACTCTCTGTTTATCACAATTTTCTTGCCATTTTAATTACTGTGTGTTTTGTTGTGGACCTCCTTTGGTTGGTTTTATTGAAAGCTCTCTGTGCTTCTAAGATCTGAATTTCTTTTTCCTTCCCCAGATTTGGGAAGTTTTCAGCTATTTCTTCAAATATATTTTCTGCCCCCTTTTCTCTCTCTTCTTCTGGGATCCTTATAATGCAAATATTGTACTTGATGGTGTTCCTGAGTTCCCTTAATCTAGACTCATTTTTTATGATTCTTTTTTTCTCTCCCCTGTTCAACTTGATTGTTTCCCATTACTCTGTCCTCCAGAAGTTTCAGTGACTGAGTTCTTCATCTCTGATTCATTCTTTATGTTTTCTGTCTCTTTGTTGAGGGTCTCACTGAGATCCTCCACTCACTTCTCAAGTCCAGTGAGTATCTTTATGATTATTACTTTAAATTCTTTATCTGGCGGGGTGCCTAGGTGGCTCAGTTGTTAGGCATCTGGCTTTGGCTCAGGTCATGATCCCAGAGTCCTGGGATCAAGTCCTGTGTCAGGCTCCCTGCTCAGTGGGAAGCCTGCTTCTCTCTCTCCTACTCCCCTTGCTTGTGTTCCCTCTCTCACTGTCTCTGTCTCTCTGTCAAATAAATAAATAAAATCTTTAAAAAAAATTCTTTATCTGGCATATTACTTATCTCTCTTTCATTTAGCTTTCTTGCTGTGATTTTGTCCTCACTTGCATTTGGGACATAGTCCTCTGTCTCTTCATTTTGTCTAATCCTCTGTGTCTGTTTCTGTGTGTTAGGAAAGTCAGCTATATCTTCTGCTCTTGAAAGTAGTGGTCTTATGAAGAAGAGGTGCTGTGGTGCCCTGCGGTGTCCTCTGTTCACCAGAATCTGGTGCTTAAGTGGTATCTCCTAAGCACCCCCTGCGTGAGAGAGCCCCCTACGTTGTGGCTGTGCCACTTTTGCCTTCAGTGCAGTTGTTGGTGATGGCTCTCATTGCCTATTGTGGGCAAGATTTGGACCCTTGTTGTTAATGGGCCATCTGGGACCACTGGGCTTGTTTTGGGTCAGACCAGGTGTTTGCCAGAGATACAGTAGCACTGAACTGCAGGGCACTTTCCCTGTGTTGTCCCCTTAGAAGCTTTTCTTGGTTAGCGGGGCTTGCAGTCACAACAGATGCCTGCCCCCAGCCCAGTGCTGGGATCCCAGTTGGACTGCTGTGCGTGTGGTTATCTTCCTCTCACTCCAGAGCAGGAATCCCTTTCTGAGTGGTGCTGATCCCTGTCAGGGCTGCTTGCTTACTGCCATGCTATGACACTTCTTTGTATGGATTCCTGCCAAGGTGGGTTGGAGGGAGTGTGTCTGCAGGAGGATACAGGAACAGTGTGCCCAGTGTTAGCAGAGCTTCTCAGTTCTGCCTGGGGAGGAACCTGGAGCTTCTTTGGAGAGGTGCTAAGGACAGGTAGGAGGGGGTGGGTCCACAGAAGTGTGTGGGGACAGAGGGCACTGTTAGGGAGCTAGTGGAGAGTATTTGTGCTGTGCTGGTTCCTGCAGGTGTCACCTATATGTAGGCTGGGAGTGGTGGGCAGGGAAGTGGCATCTCTATACCCCAGGCGTTTTACAAACTGCTGCCTCTATGCTGTATCAAAGTGGGGCTGTTTTTGCGCTGTCTCTTTAAGGGTCGGGACTCAGTTTCCTCTCACTCTCTGGCTTCCAGAGTTGAGCCTATTCATTTTTAAAGTTCTAGGTCTTAACCCCCACTGATTTTAAGAATTCTTGAAGTTAAGACCCTCTGGTTTTCGAAGCCAAATGATATGGGGATTATATTCCCAGTGCAGGCCTGCTGTGCCTGGGGTGCCTGAGCTGGAGTCTTCTCCTCTCCCTTCTCTGTGCTTGCAGTGACCCTCCTCCTGAGGACAGTCTGGAGGGTTGGTTTGGTTCCCGACCGCATCTCTGCCCTACCTACCCTTTCTGATGTGGCTCCTTCTCTGTGTTTAGCTGTGGAGAGTCTGTTCTGCCAGTCTTCGGGTCATTTTCCGGGTTATTTACCCTGATGTGGGTGTTCTCTAGGTGTATCTGTGGGATGAGGTGAGCTTAAGGTTCTACTTCACCATCTTCCCAAGAAGTCCCCAGTTGTGCAGCTCTTTAAAATGAAGAGCTCAGAAAGAATAAAAAAAAAGAGGGTTTTAAGATTTCCCAGTTGCCTCTTACTTTTATGGTACTTGACCTATTTTATCTCTTTCAGTTCTTGAAATAACATCATGAGGTGAATTTTTAATCCCCATTTGAGAATTGAGGCATCAAGGCTCAGTGGGAGTGGTAGCCAGCTGCCCAAGATCACAGTGGCAGGGCTGGAGTGCAAACCCAGGTTTCCTGCGTGTGATGCCCTACTTGCATCGTGGGGAAAGCCTGTGCTGTAACCTTAAGTTAACAAAACAAGATACAGAACTGTGTCTCAATTAGGATTTCAACTACCACTGTAGTTTTAACACAAAGGTATGCTTTTCTGTCTACATACTTGTCTGCACCTTGGTAAACACTGGAGAACAGTGTGCTGCATTTTTGTTCTTTGCAGGATTTGCTGAATGTGTGTTGGGCAAACAGTACTGATGGTCCTAATAATTTTAATAACTATATAAAACTTCAGTAACTGGCAAGAGTTTCTGCAGGGTACATTGCTCTGATAGGAGCCGGGCAGATTTTTTCTGACCTTTAGTTATTAGATATCCAAATAAAATTGTGGTATTCCTTTTTTTTTTTTTTCTTTAATGTATTTGGTTAATGGAGGCTGTTAATTTGATAGGTCGAGTAGGAGAGAACTGGAAGGTGGAGAGGCCCACCTCCCCTACCTCTGTGAAATCTCTGAACCTTGTAGGACCGGTCCACACAGCACAGATGTATTTTATGATCTGAGAAGCTTTTGGATACAAGTATTTTATTTCACAGTGCTTAAAGATTACTTTTTTCCTCCCTTAATCTATGAAATAGGGATATATCCATATACCAGAAGTTGATGGAGGAGAAAATATGTCATTTATAGCCCAGCCTTCATAGCTACTTGAGACTACAGCATGTCTACGTGGGGAGCATGTGCTCTAGAGAGACTCCTGGCTTTAGCCATCAGTATACCTCACTGGGGAAGCTGGGGGGAGGGGGTCTTAAATTTTTAATTATGACATAGCCAAGTTATGGGAAAAATATGAGTATAGTGAAAATAAATGTACTTAAACATTCTGAGAGGAAAGAGATAGGCACCCTGCCTTTTAAGAAAAAAAAAAAAATGCATATTGTATTTTCTCTCCTTGTGAGTCTCAAAGCCACGAGCAAGAAGGAACTAGGTTACATCTTCTTTATGACTCCAAAACATTTCACTCATTTTTTCTAAGTAAGATCATCCTTATTTGTAACCTTTATAAAAATGAACAGAAGGGCCCTCTATTATAGCCATTATACCCTGTCCTTTGATGTCTAGCCAGGAAAATAAGAACATCACTGTATTCAATGGAAATAAGAGCCCATGAACCAAGAAGCTCACGGTCTGTTTTCCGTAGGAAATGTTGTTCTCTGGAGATAGAATTGGTGCCATGTTTGAATACTGCTTGTATCCCTTGTCCCTAAGGAAGAGCTGTGGTCAGAACTGAAGTGTCTTGAGCACAAGTGTCCGACTCTTGGTTTCAGCTCAGGTCATGATTTCATGTCGTGAGATTGAGCCCATGTGTTGGGCTCCCTGCTCAGCGGGGAGTCTGCTGGAGATTTTCTCTCTCTCTCCCTTTTCTTCTGCCCCTCCTCTCTTTCTCAAATAAATAAATCTAAAGCCAAAACCAAAACAAAAAACAAACAAACAAAAAACTGGAGTGTCTTGCCAGGCAGCCTCACTTCCCAACAAGTGGTGACCAGCCTGTCCCACTGTGTTCCTTCAGGCTCCCAGATTCAGCACCTGACACAGGTGGGAATTGCAAGCAGAATTGGAGCCCAGCCAGTGGAAATCCCACCCAGCAGAGGTGGCCAGTATGGGGGACCCGGCTGGCCTTCATATGGGGAGGATGAAGCTGGCCGAAGAGAGGCTGTGAGTATCTTGTGTTTGGGTCATCACTGAAAACTCAGACATAATCATTAAATTTAGCTGCTTCTGCTTTGAGGATCCCTTTTTAAAACCTACATAAAAAAAAGTTTTAACCTCTCTCCCTTTTCTCTGTGAGTGTATTTTTGCTTGCAGTTTTTAAGTAGTAAATTCCCACCCACCCAGGGTGGCTAATTACACTGAACTTAGAGAAAGCATATAATTTTACCTGAGGCAGATTTCAGGCTTAAAGTAGTGAATTTTTGAAAATAACCTTTTAAAAAGATAGTAAAAGTGATACTCATTACAGAAAATCTGGACAGAGACCTATAAGTAACAGCTACCTTTAAAATTTTTCTAATTTTGTTTTATCAGTTAAAAAAATTTTTTTTTCTAATTTTTATATAATGTGGTAAAACACACATAATATAAAATTTGCCATCTTAGACACTTTGAAGTATACAGTTCAGTGGTTTTAAGTACATCCACGATGTCACGCTACTATCTCCACCATCTATCTCCATAGTATTTTTCATCTTATAAAGTGGAAATTCTTTGCTCATTAAACACTAAGTGCTTTTGCCCTCCCCCCTCCCAACCCCGGCTGCAGGCAACCACAGTTGTACTTTCTGACTCTGATTTTGACTTTCAAGTAGTGAATTTGAACCTGTAGGTGACTAAAATCTGAACTTGATCTTTGGCGTTATTGGGTAAATTTGCATGATCTTACATACCTACTTGCTCCCCATTTATGGTTTGTTGTGGGCTTATCCATATCATTTCCGTTATGACCCCCCCCCCCCCCCACGGAGTTGCTTCAGCCATAAGCTCACAATTTGGGGGTCCCAAGGCACAGTTTCTCTTAGAGGCTTCTCATCCCTTTGATCACTCCTTTATAGGGATGGGATCAATACAGGCACAGATGCTCTCCTTTGTTTTTCTCAAGAATTTTACATGCATTTACATGTCTTTCCAGCAAATGCACTAAATTATTTTCCTGACCGGAGGCTTCTACTACTCAGTGAAAGAAAATTAATTTGAGAATATAATTTTACTCTAATAGATACATTGTTATACTTTGAATTTCAGGTGTCTGCTTTACATTGCTGACCTTTTTCTGCCTTCATTGTGCCTAACTTATTTTCATAAGGTATTTTGGATTTTCCTAACAAACCCAGTGTTTACTTGACACTGACACTTTATCACTATTTGGAAACGTGAGGGCTTGAATGCCATGTTTACCAGGAGACTTACTTTTTAACATCAGTGAAACCACAGATTTAGTACTCATGTATATATCTAAAGAGAGATTTTTCACTGAAAAAATATGAAAAAATCACTGAAAAGTACAATAATTCTAGTCCAATGAATGCCCAATTACTTTATATTATGCAAATATAAGCAAAACTGTTGTCCTAGTGCAGATAACTTTTTAAAGAAAAGGCTGTGTAGAAGAGTCAGTAGATACACAAATAAAATAGAAAATGATTTTGTGACATTCCCCAATGTGCTGTGGTCCCTGTGTGTGTCACATGCACACCCTCTCAGGGCTCGAGTGCCAGAGCAAAGCAGTTCTTGTCGATCTTTCTGCAAGTACTTGCTCGTCTCTTCCAACTCTCAGATACTCTCATCTGACCCTTCACCTCCACAGGACACCCCAGCTCTCCAGGTCCCTTCCTGTTATCCCAGTGGGCCCCTCCCTTGCACACACAGGGGCACCGAGACTTGGCCAACCTCATCATTCTTTCTGTCTACCTTTAAGCCAGTATTTAATAGGTACCTGTTAAGTTCAGGGCTTGTTTTTTTTGTACTGCTCTCCCTCCAGCAGTTCTTCTACAGTTTCTATATTCCATCCCAGGGGCCTTCTGGGAGGGCCCCGTTCCGTGGGAGGTGGGCAGGAGGAGTTCAAGTCCCGGGGGCACGCCCACCACCAGTTTGAATGGGATTTTCCCTCCTGCGCTTCCCTGGGAAGCCCAGTGACGTTTGCCGTGTTTTTTCAGACGCACGTGCTTGGACATCAGGAGTACTCTAACTCACCGCTGTTCCAGGTGCCAAGGACTTCAGGCAGGGAGCCCTCCGCTCCTCCCGGGAACCTCCCGCACAGGGGGCTGCAGGGCGCGGGGCTGACTTACACCACCAGCTCCACGGAAGACCTCCAGCCCGGCCACTCTTCAGCTTCACTCATCAAAGCGATCCGCGAGGAGCTGCTCCGGCTTTCCCAGAAACAGACCGCCGTGCAGAACTTCCACAGCTGATCGGCATCGCCTTGCAAATTTGCCAAGTATCCGCTTCCCGTGGAAGCAAGACTAAACGGAAATCAATGAAATGGGTGTTGGTGAGAGAACGCGCCTCTCCTGGGCTAGGTGCCCGTGCGAGGGAGCAAGTGGCAAAGTTAGAAGATGCCATAAGTCACGGGACGGCTCACGATGCTTTTAATAAGTGGGCAATTTTTTGACCACTTGGGTTGTAGTCGACATGTACATACTTTTGGCCAAAAGCCAGCAGCATTTCTTGAAGGCGAACCACAAACCTAAGCTAACGAAAAAAATAATCACTAAATTCATCTCCTTTTTAAAGGTAAAAGGTGGAAATGTGTAGATGGTATAGGGATGAACAGAATCGAGCATTTCCTTGGGAAGGTGTGATTCAGACTGGTTTGTATGATGAACTTGCTGGTTTGTTTTCTGAGAAAAGAGATTTGAAGACATTTTATTAACAGCTTGATTTCCCTCTTTTTCTCCATAGGAACTTATTTTAATAGTCATGTTAACAACAAAAATACTAAGACTGTTTGGGAATTAAAAAAGCTACTAGTGAGAAACCAAATGATAGATTGTAGAGCCTGATGATTCCAAAAGAAGCCATCATCTGCATTTTTCCTTCTTCTTCTGGTGCTACAGCTCCGAGGGCCCCTCCACCTTTATGTCTGTGAAATGCAACTTTGGTTTTTGCAGTGGAAGAACACGCTGAAGATTTCATTTTGTTCTAGAAAGAAAAAAAACAACCAACCTCCCAAACGGGCTAGGGGGGGCCTGGGGGAAAGCTTAATATTTAGTTGGTTATTCAAAATACATATTGAAGTTTAGATTTACATTCTTAATTGTATTTGCTGTTTATTAATTGGGCGCATGCAAGTACCAACAACATCCCATTTCGGTGCATGCCGTCATTAAGGTCAGACCTACAGAAGGAGGCTTTCAGGAGGTCATAACCAATCCTTGCACTTGGCTGATGAGTTGCTCACAAATTGTTTGAATGAGAAAAAAATTATTTACCAAAACTACCGGGGCCAACAAATTGTTATTCACAAGTACATTTCTAGTAATCACATTCTCTGTGTTCAAGACCTGGAAATGGAACAGAGTTCAATCCAGCCTCTCAGTAACAAATCAAGAAATGTAAAGAAGAGCTTTGAGGACCACAAGGAAAAGGCAAGAGTTGCTCCTGGTTTCTGATTTTATTGTGCATGACCACTAAGTGACTGTTAAAACCATCTTATGTTCTTGGGGCCTGACAGAGGGTACCATCTGTCTTGAGATTCACTCCTGAAGTAAACATTTCCCTACTTCTCAAGCTAGAGTAAGGAGTATAATAACAAGGGCCATTCTTTTTTCTGATACCTGAGAGAAGCGCAGAGGAAAACAATAACAGATTTCCACTAGGAATCCTTTATTAGATTCGCTAATACTTTTGATGAACGACAGATAAACAGAGATTTGGAGCTCTGATGAATCAAAATCTGTAACAGATTTTAAGAACCCTGAAACAGCTAAAATAGGTTTCCGAAGTGTAATCATTGGGAGCCACAATCATGTTTTAGCGCTTCCTTAATGAAGCCGGTCAGACAGTCTGATGATACAGGGAATATTTCTTCTGGGAAGTTAAATGTAGCCTTTTCTTCCTCTATGCCAGTATTCGGGAAATACCAGCCTTCCTGAATATGTTAGGAATTTGAGATAGCCAAGCAGAATTTTATTATGGACACCTTACAGTAAATTCAGGTCGTGTGACAGCAAATGGAGTAAACGTAGGCCCTCTCCTCCCATTCTGCTCAGTGTCCTCTTTGCACACAGTGTACTAAGAATGGTTACCTCCTCTGTACATCCCAGAAATGGGTGTCTGTTTTCCAGAGGGCTGCAGTAGTGATTTTGATGCCTTTCAGATTAGTATAAAAGGATTCCACCTGTATTGTTATGCTTAGAATTGATAGACTTTTCAACTAATGTCATGACCAAAGATAACATAGGATAACCGGTGTTGTGTGGTGTGGTGTGGTGTGGGCAGGCTCATGGGATCACCAGCACTCTTGTTTTGATTGTAAAGCACACTGTGCACCTGTTTCCTCTGAACACCTACAGCAGCTTCCTGTCACCAAACTCAGGACAGACTGACTGTTGTTGGGAGCACCACACCCAGGTGGGTCTTTGGACACTCGGTTAACATGATCTACTGAAAAGAAAGGTTCTCATGTTGATCTTGTGTGGCTTTGAAGTTCCATTAACTGAAGTACTCTAAAATGAAAAGTCAAATTTTGTGTCTATTCTCTTTTCCTAGTTTAAGTCTGGTGGTGGGACGCTTGGGTGGCTCAGCTGGTTAAGTGGCTGCCTTCGGCTCAGGTCATGATCCTAAGGTCCTGGAATTGAATCCCACATTGGGCTCCTTGCTCAACAGGGAGCCTGCTTCTCCCAGTCTGCCTGCCACTTCCCCTGCTTGTGCTCACTCTCTCTGATTAAAAAAAAAATAATAGTAAAAAAAAAAAAAAAAGTTCTGGTGGTAATCATGCAAGCCATTAGGTTGAGTCAGAATTTCAGAGAGGGTTGGAGATCATTTTCAGAGTCTACTTAGTCACCAACTTGCTATGTCAGGTACCTTCCCGAGCCTCTTTCTCCCCATCAGCCAGATGAGGACAGACCTCTTCTGTCCACCTCCCAGAATCGATTGTTTCAAGATTCAGATACGATCTTGTATGCAAACAACCCTCGAGGAGGGTGCACAAAGCTTGGTGAAATGTAAAATGTTATCTGTATGATTGAACTGGTATTGGACAGCCCGACATGCTGTTATCTACCAGTGAATGATTTCACATGGAAGTAACCAAAGCAAAACTAAGGGCGCCATGTGACTCCTCTTCCTCTTTCTCTATTTGCTTGAAATTCACTTCCTTCATCCTTAACTTTAAAACATCATTTATCAAACATCTTTTTGCACCTGAAGTTTTGCCGTTTCTAGCACCCAAAATGTCAACATTATTCTTGTCTTTTAGAGCTTAGAATCTAAATCAGATAGCATAGCTGGGTATAAAAGATGGAAGCTACAGATACATCATGTGGTGTGAACATCAGTAAGATTCACTGAAAATACGCAAGTGCATTGGGTACTCAGGAGAAGGGATGTTGCACATTTGGAAACCATGGGATCCTGGGGAGAAGCCCACTTCAAAAGCTACTTTAATGAAGGTGGGGGATCTGGTGAGATGGCAAGGGAAGAGCTGGGAATGGGTGTGGCGAAGGATGGAGAAATTGGAGGAAGCTGTCCTTGAAAATGAACTTGATCTGCTGTAATATGGAGACAGGATCCCTAACTGCACCATATAGGGAGTTCTAATTAAACAAGAGGAGGAAATGGGACTGTGAGAATGTGTTGGCAAGAATACACTGAGACAGTGGCTGGGTCTGTGAAGAAGGTCTGCACAGCAAGAGATCCAGTCTGGAGGAGGGAAGAGAAGGGTACCAAGAACTGAAGGACCAATTGTAAAGTATGAAAATATTGTAAGAATTCCACTGAGGTTTACTGCTTAGGGCAGCTCTCAGTGGTCAGCCATTCAAACACATTAAGTGCTTTGTGGAGCATATTAGGTTATAACTAAATATATTCCACTTCTTTGTAGCTGTCTACACAATTTTCTCCAAATTTTATTTGATTTCAGAATATGTTTTGACTTTGGTAGGACATGGCTTTTGAGCACCAGACGAAGCAGGTTTTGCCAGCCAGATTTTTCAGGGCCTGAGGCCTGTGATGCAAAGCATAGGTGACGGTGTACCTGAAGGCTTTGGGCCAAAACAGGTAATTCTGTGTTTTATGAGCCTCCCATTTAATTGTGTACTGGGTCAGTGTTTACTGCATTGCCCTTCTTAGTGCTCCAGTGGCCAAACCAGTCACTGGGACACCGATTTGCATTTGCAGTAATTCACACGTTAATCATTAAATACACTTCTCTTTCCCTTTCATATTAGATTCTTAGACATGAATGCATTTGCTGGTTGAAAGGAAAGCTGGTTAAGGTTCTGGGCAGGCGAGAAGGGGGCCTCCAGTCTTAACGGCCATACCGACTTCAGCTCAAGGTGAGCTTTAGCCATTCCATTTCTACCTCCAAAGCCAGTCTCCAGAGCCTGCTTATCCACATTTGTCCCTGACGGGAGCGTGAAGGAGTCCACTTCTGGACATGCACACTGACCATTTGGTCACAAAACACATTTTTATGGAATGGTAACCTGGACTTCATTTTTACATTTAATCCAACACATGAATGAATATTCTTAAAACAGGTGAGAGGGGTCTCTAAGAGCAGCTGCTGTAACATACTCATAAAATGTAATAGGCTCACACTTACTACCTAATGAATAAGGAGTGTGTATATTTTAGGTTTCTTTTGATATTCTTGGAAGTGACTTTGAGTGTTTAGGACTCCCCTCCCTAGTATTAAAAAGACTTGAAAACTGAAACCTCACGGTACGATCCTAATTCCATGCTCATGTGTGTTAACAGTACATTTAAGAACTTATCTTAAGAACATGCAGCAGCATTGAAATTTAGGAAAAGAATATTAAATGCCTTGGAAATACGAAGCAAAGTTAGGAACCAGCGAGCAAGTGAGAGAAGGAATGGATGTCTTAATCTGAGGTGGTCTAGTCCAAAGTAGTTTCCCACAGGGTAGTTCTACAGGATCCTTGCTTTTCCTTCTTCTTCCAAGTTTTTCTTCTCTGGGGCCACTTCACATTTCAAGAAAGAGTGAATGGTAGAAGGGACAGAGATAGAAATTGGAGTCATTTGAGTTGCTCGGTCCCTGGTTCCACCGAAACATTTCTGGACATCTTGGAGCATCATGAAGGGTCTCATGCCCCCGGTTTAGGCATTCATGACTTGATTTCCTAAGTGTGCAAGTTAGGAATAGTACAGGACCAAGTTTAAGCCAGACTCCCTGTATTGTTCCTTTTGTTCATGTGGAAAAAGAAGGAGACTCCACTGATGAATGCACTCGCTCTAAACACCAGAGGGCTCATTTCAGAAAGGGGGGTAAACACTGAGCTTGGCCCTCCTCCAGAGAATCCTTGAGGGAGCGTGGAGATTGGGTTCATTACCCTGGCTCAGCAGAGCTACTCTGGGCTACCCACCTGTCTCCTCCTACTTTGTCAAGGTCCATGTTCTTCAGACTTCCTGCACTCATTCCTGGACTGTGAGTGATTATGTACGAAAATATGCAGAGTAAATTGAGGCCACCTGTGGCATCGATACTGCAACTTGAACTTGACAATCATGGTTTGCTGGTCTCAAATGGGCACTTAAATTTCAGCGTGGGTATATGATTTAGTAATTGAACCTTCCTTTCTATTTGTCGGTTATGTTTCTACCCTTCGATTAGCCGCCCTGTTTTCTAATGTGCTGTAGAGTTTTTGAAATAATTTATGCAAGTGTTTGGTTTCCATGTTTACAATTTATACTGCTTTCCTAGCATTTTAAATGGAAATGTCAATAAATGCTATAATTGGTGTCAAATGATCTTTTCTGTTTATTTCCTTTGTAATGCGATTTTCTCATTTGTAGAGTGTGATCGTAGAAGGAAATGATCTCTTCCTCTAATGGTTGTGTCCCTGATAAGAACACCTAGGACCTTCATTTTCTAAGGAGTTAAGTTGAAATAAATCTAGTCTGCTCGTGCAAATTGCAGAACTGTTCATTCCTCCCTTGGCTGGTACCACCCGCTTCTGCCCACTATGTTTTGCTTTTCTGCTTCCCGCTAATCAGATT